CTGATGGCACCACGCGACGGCCGATGTGGCATGAGTTTATTTGCATATGCGCAATTCATGGTTGTATGTGGGCTGGGACACTACCAGGGCGCCCACACCTAGACAGGAGGACGATTAGGGTTCTCAACCAAAGCCTTTGGCTCAAAAGCCTAACCGCAAGGCAGCGGTGTTTGGCGGGAAATGCAAATGCATTACCATTTCTACGGAACAAGTCGCCACATGTTCCAACCCCCAACCTGGAGGGCCAGGAGACTGTGTTCGTCAGACCTCTCACCATTGACCAACCTGGTATGAGAGACTCTGTGAGTGTCGCGAGACACTCTCCAGTATAGCTCAATGGATCGTTGAGGTGCGCAAACCGTCACACCACGGTAAGGTCCAGTCTCTTCGTGACGGTATTTCGTTTTGACTTCCAGATATTTGCTCATCAAATCAAATAAGAATCGATAGGCACTGACTCAGCTGTGATATGCACACAGTTGAAAGCTAAAAACGATAATCTAGTCTGTTTAAAAGCGAGTGAGTAAGGTCCAGTCTCTTCGTGACGGTATTTCGTTTTGACTTCCAGATATTTGCGGGTATCATCAAATAAGAATCGATAGGCACTGACTCAGCTGTGATATGCACACAGTTGAAAGCTAAAAACGATAATCTAGTCTGTTTAACGAAAAAGCGAGTGAATGCGTTGCGGATACGTTGAATACGGGGATAGCTCCGGCGCATTTCGATGTGCTCTCTATCTTCTGTAAGTTGTACTAGAACCGATTACCTTTTGACGTTTTGACCCGAGCCTCAAGCTGATCAATGTCATCAATGAAAACTCCATTTTGCCTTGCCATGTTGATAGCACATGGTTTTCAGAATATAGAGTTTTCGAGGAAAGGGATCACGTCCTCATAGCCGCGCTTGTCAGGGACAGTACCTATCTCTGTTTTTTTCAAGTAGAAATGGTAAAATCTGCCTGTTTTGAAGACTCCCGTCTTTGTAAAACACCTCGGTAGCGGTCTGTAATGGAACTACTATCTCAGGAGGTGTAGAGAGTATTGGCATTGGCGATTTTTTATTTGAATAGTTCGGTCTTTGTATTTATTCCATCTGGCACTGTTTATTCGCACGATCCTTCCAATATCTCGTCTTTCATTACAGGTACTTTTGCGTGAGACAGAACAGGTTCGCCGGGAGCTAGGACAGGCAATGTTCAATCTCCTGAATTCCGCTTTGCCCTCCTGTTGCCGGGAGTCTAGAGTGTATCGTACAAAATATACTGAAGAGGTGGATATCCGAAATTTAGAGAAATGTCTTGTTGCTGCGGCTAACAAGGTTGTCACATTTGATCCAAGGTAAGTCCCGAAAGAAATATGAGGATTTCGTTTTCTTGTCTCAGACACGCGAACTCCGAAAGCATATTATTATTATTATTATTATTATTATTATTGTCACCTACAGTCTGGACATTATGCAGTTCATCTAAATGAGCTTCTTGTTCTACTGAGCTACGTTGAGTTAGATGTGGCTCATGCTTTAAGGTATAGGTTATTGTTCGGGGGCTGTCTTTCGTATCCACCTCTAACTTTTAGTTTGCTGTGACCCAAGCTTGGATGTCCTGTGCTTCTTTCGATTAGGGTAACGGCAAAGCGAAGCTGAGAATGTTACTCGTCTGAAACTTTATGGTGTCTCATTCTGAAGTGGTGCGTTAGCAGGATCGATTTTTTGGATCATGGTCGAGGTTGAAAACCTGCTGTCAGTGTTTTCGTTGGTGCTTTTGAGAGGTTAGTTATGGCTGCTACCACGGTTTCACCATCACTGTTTTACCAGCGAACGACACACCCTTAAGCTTTAACCAAGTCCTAGCTTAATAACGGACCGGCTCTTGTCAATCTATTCCGCAGACTATAGGAGGATGACGACTTTATTAGAAATTTTGATAGCTGCTTACCTTATTTTAGTTGATCGAAAACGTGGATATTATCGTCATAAACAATAACCAGTTGCCAGTTCAGTTTCGACACGTCTTCTCAAAATATCACCATTGTGTGCACTTATTGTGGCGGTTGTGTAGCATCTACCGGTCGTATAATATGTTTCTGTTGATTCGTTCTATTTGGCAACGAAGAAGAACAAGTGAATTTCTTGGGGAGCACTTGTTTGTTCTACTGAGCTACGTTGAGTTAGATGTGGCTCATGCTTTAAGGTATAGGTTATTGTTCGGGGGCTGTCTTTCGTATCCACCTCTAACTTTTAGTTTGCTGTGACCCAAGCTTGGATGTCCTGTGCTTCTTTCGATTAGGGTAACGGCAAAGCGAAGCTGAGAATGTTACTCGTCTGAAACTTTATGGTGTCTCATTCTGAAGTGGTGCGTTAGCAGGATCGATTTTTTGGATCATGGTCGAGGTTGAAAACCTGCTGTCAGTGTTTTCGTTGGTGCTTTTGAGAGGTTAGTTATGGCTGCTACCACGGTTTCACCATCACTGTTTTACCAGCGAACGACACACCCTTAAGCTTTAACCAAGTCCTAGCTTAATAACGGACCGGCTCTTGTCAATCTATTCCGCAGACTATAGGAGGATGACGACTTTATTAGAAATTTTGATAGCTGCTTACCTTATTTTAGTTGATCGAAAACGTGGATATTATCGTCATAAACAATAACCAGTTGCCAGTTCAGTTTCGACACGTCTTCTCAAAATATCACCATTGTGTGCACTTATTGTGGCGGTTGTGTAGCATCTACCGGTCGTATAATATGTTTCTGTTGATTCGTTCTATTTGGCAACGAAGAAGAACAAGTGAATTTCTTGGGGAGCAGTTCAGTCTGTCACTTGTTAATTTCCACCTGGACCACCGGTCTGTCTCGAGAACAGGTGACTCGAACATCACCGAACTTCTGAGCTCCGCTATATTCAAGGACTCCAAGAATTCTTCGGCGCCCGTCAAACTTGTTTGCCTTAAAACAGAGTTGTCAAAAAATTTGGAGTTTAAATCGTTGTTGATAAGAGTTGTGTGGATCTGGAGTGTACAGGTGACATCGTTTCCATCCTTGAAAATGAACGGAAAGCAAAAATGATGTCAATTATTCTGACTGCTGTCATGCGTTCCTCGACTTGGATTGTACGCCTTGGAAAGTCAAGAATAGGCAAAATGAACATGTCCCCGGCAAATCAAGGAAAGCAGTGGGAGCTATTGAGTGCTTCATTCGCTCTACATGAAGCCAGTGCATAGATCCCGGAGACCCGAATCACGTTCGCTTGTTCGATCCTGTGGCTTCAAAGGCTTATCAGTGAATATCAGTCGACAGTGAACACCGTGTTGTATGTTTGTGGTTTGACCTCTTCAGCTGAAGTATCTGCGGTGTGTCTAGTTTCTCAGAACCATAGCTGGCCTAGGATAACAACAAATTCGTAACGAGTTGTGAAGTAGGTTTTTCAGTTTAGAGAAGAAATCTGATGCCTTTTGCTACATACTGGTGTAGCATTCTATTAACTCCAGAAGAACATTAACTGCGAAATAAAGAACTTGTCAACTGATTATGACCAGATTTCGAAAACCATGGGTGTTGGTGCGATCCGTCTCACTGGGTGGGAGCCTCTCAACTCCGGACACCGACTGGTGCCAGTATTTTTCTTGCTGTCATTTTCTATTAAGCTTACCCTTGCAATAGATCTGAGGTGCCCGGGATTGATTGTGACAGGTTTGAGTGACTATCCACACTTCTCTCGTCTCGCGAACCCTTTGAGGGCGCTCACCCATCGTGACACACTGCTCTTGATAACGACTCCTCGGATATCACGACTGTATAGTAGTTAATGTGCCCTCCCTCTCTTTCGGCAACCACTCAACAGTTAGTCAGTTCAATTCCTACCGCAAAAATGTCTTAGGTAGAATATATCCACAGAACGTTCTCGGGTTCGTTGATCGCCAGGGTGAATGTACAGCCAACAGTACCCGTAAGCACTACCATATGGAATGGCTTTCTGAGACGAATACAGCATTCATACGAGCCTGAAAGTAGCTCTGACTATCACGGATGAGTGCATGTGTATTTGTTCCCTCGTGACATTTGCGGTTGTAAAAAGATTTTTAGGGAGAAGACTCACTTTGATGGAGTTGTCTCTTGGGAGGATGTCTCATTAACTCATGAGCTGATGCAGACCAGGAAAAGGTCATCCACTTCGCCAGAATTTCAAAAGTAAGCCAACAAAGATTGAACGTTCTTTTGCATCCGAAGCAGGAAGCTAACCAGTTTTTTCTGATTCACAAAATCTGATTCTCACCGGGTCTGGCATTTTTTTGGTACACCATCTAAAACCTTTAGATCGACGTTATCAGTGACAGCTTGTTTCAACTATGAGCGCACAAGCTACTGTGTCCGGTTTGCTGTTTACTGTATCCCGTCTTCTCTCCGAGCGCGACGGTTGCATTTGTACGCGCAATCAATCATTGATTGTCCCCATTACTGTTTGCTAGCTTGTTTTGTGTGATTCACGACAGGCCACATTGATAGTCTGGACCTTTCGCTCCGAATCGCACTTGACAGGGGCTACGGCAACCACGTCGTCTCTAATAAGAAGTAAATAAGCCCCTTTATTGTCAAGATGATGGGTGTAAGGTATGCACAATAGTGGATGATTCATTCACTTTGTATGAGGTTTTCGTACTCCAGAATCCGGCTACTCGTTTTTCTAGTTTATAGCCTTAGTTCTGTTGTTTTGATCCATATCGGGTGCTAGTCACTGTTTTGCTTATTGGCCTGTCGGTCCTGGTCATATTTCCACTGGTACCACAGTTCGCACTCTTGTATGTGCAACGGAAAATCGTCGCATCGAAGGTTTTTTGCCTAGTGATAGCTAACGGATGTGGTACTCTGAAGACGAAATTTGTGTTTTCATATTCCTTCCTTTGCTCATCTCAATACGGCACTTCTGGCTCCCGATATCCCGATAGTATACAGCTTGTCTTTTGGGCGCTCTTACACAGTTGCCATCAATAAGGGCACATTCTAGTATCCTCTTGGTGATGGTGGTGTGAACAACTAAATTGAACATCGAGCCACTGCAAAACATTGTAATGAACACATTCAATGATCTCAACCAATGCTCGTAAGAACGAGCAAGATTCGATTTTATCGGCGAAAAGCATCGCCTTTGAAAATGTGTAAGATATGTCCACATAGGGTATAGGAATATACATACGCACAAGCCACGCGATTCGCCCTAAAATCACACCGTGCCACATCATCACACCAACTATTGTTGAAGCAGTTTTAGTATTCGTAGCCGGGATGGGATTTCCAATGCCTCGTAGTGCGTAAGTGGGCAGAGAATCCTCATTGTTTGATTGATCGCCAGTAGCTCGTCCAAGGAAGGACGCAGAAGTTATCCAGAGAACATTGATGGATATGAACGTACTCTTGACAAGTGCAGTTCATTTCGGTACGAGCCGTATTTTCTCGAGAACGGGAGATTCAACTAAGACTCGACTGAGTCTCTTGTTTATGGTGTTCTTTAGTTGAATCGCTCCTTAGAGCCAGTTTAGTTTGCTAATTAGTGTACATTACGAATCCCGCACAAGTTGGGTTCAAGTAGAGCTTAAAGGTGACGGATACTCTTGGGCGGTGTCCGAAGAACAGTGAAACCTGGTTCTAGGTTGTCCAAGAGTTTTCCGTCAAGAGAAAAATCTCTTTGGACGGGCGAGGTTGTGCTGCAACTGAATGATGTTGACTATTTTGGTACTTGATTGTTATCCACGCAGTCGACAGTTGCATACGTTTCCACGTCAACTCACGCTATTCCATTCCCACTTCGACCTCGTGAAAGTCAAGGAGTGGTGGTCGTACAATAGTGGCCCGATAGTCTGATGTTTCCTCGTATCCGGACTTGAACGGTTCTTGTAAATGTGTAGTGTAATTTATCGCTTCCTCCACGAGAATGCTGGATATTCCACCACTGCATGTTACTACCAATGGCATGCTGTAAACTCGTATCCCTTTTCATTTTCGTGTCACCTAACTAAGTAAGAGCTGCAACAGTGTCATTTGTCTTGAAGATGTCTTCTAAAATGACGACGAAAAACATACTAAATATTGGACATTCGCTGGATATCAAGTTATCATGCTTTGTTTCAGCTCCATTACTGTGCGCCAAGCCAGGTCAGATCTGGTCAAGAAGAGTCCGTGTGCATGACGACTGACCAACGACGCAGTACATTTCCACCGCGCAGTTTCTTTTTGGATAATGAGTCAGTCATTTTCAGAACCGTCGGCTGTCCCTTTTTTGGTTCCGGGGATTTGTGTGTTGATTGTGTTGATTAGCGCCGAGTTTGAGGTAGCGTACGATCGTGGTGTTACACAGGTGACATTGGGAGTTTTTGTCCCGTAGGTCTGTAGTAAAATTTTCCTTCCTTGACTGCCTCTGCTCAATTCATCCCTTCAGTTTCCTATTGTTCGCGTCGAAAGGATGCCGCAACTACATCGTTTGGTTCCTAACTTCGTTCATGTATCACATGGTTTTTCCTCAGTGCGTATAGCACCAACATCTTCACTCAGTCATAGTCAGCGAAGCATCAGACAATTAGTCTGTTCGTACTGAGGCTCATCAGCATGACACGCACTGAGATTCCAGTTAAAAACGGCACGAAGCATCAGACAATTAGTCTGTTCGTACTGAGGCTCATCAGCATGACACGCACTGAGATTCCAGTTTTTAAAAAACGGCATTTTATGAATACAGTTACAACTACTCAGCCCCTTCTAATGACACGGAGATTGGGTGCTTGCTTGCAAGTCCGCCACACTGCCTAATCAATGTCAAATCACTGGAGAAGATATCAGCTATAGGTCTACAGATCGAGAGTCATTCTCATTTGTTCCTGGCTAAAACTAGGCTCCTTCGTTTTCGGGACCATTCTTTGGTCACAATGCATTGCAAAATATTACCTTTTTTCCATTCGTTGTAGCGCATCCCCCAGAGAAATGGATCTGCGTCCAGCGCAGCCAAGTGCATCTGCATTTTTGGATGTTCTATCCCAAGTCCAGTGTCTTGTGGCCAATCAAATCGAGCTTGCATTGGCTGCCACCGATCGAGCGTTGCTTAGCAAGGGAGAGGATGAGGATAAAACTGATACTCAGAGCGGTTCCTCTGGCTCAGTGGGTTCCGTGCCTGCCACTTTTTTACGACAAAGGTCTCCAGAGCGGACACCGGCTTTGGATGCGCGTATGTCCAAAGTGTTACGCATTTTATCATGTTGGGAGATGGTATACTTGTTGGTGCATCGAAAACGCTGGTATGACCCTACATGTATACACATTAGCCTCTTGCAATTGGAAAAATTCTTGGACAAAAACTGTGCTTGACTGCCGTTATAACGAGCACCTTGGGATTCAGAAAACAGACAGTCATTTTTACACAACATCGTGTTTTAGATCGAAATTCTTTGCCATTCCAGGCTTCCTTACGATAGTGCCCCTACGCTAGAGACAAAAGGGCTAAAGCAGTACAAAACGCGTGCCATGGTCTTCCATTCTGTCTAAGTTGAGATATTTTCTCGGTCTTAAATCCCCTTCCTCAGTGGCCCAACTAGTGGTTTCCCCACCAATCCTATCATCTACCCTGCAGTAGTGGATTGAAATTCTATCAACGTATGGCAAAATTATCCAGGAAAGTAGATGGGGTTCAGATATTCTAAGGATGCATCTCAACCGATTCTCCTGTGAAACAGAAACCTGGGAGACTTTCATCCCAAGTGCAGCTAGGCGAACTTGTCTTTTGTGAAGAAAAGCTTCACCCAAAGGACAAGCAGACTTTGAGCTTGTATCCAATTTTTCTTATTATTTTTATACAGTCGCAATCTCAGCTCTTTCATTTGCATATTCACTGTCTCATCGGTTTGATGGGTGGCAACCCAGTTTTGCTTCCGTGTACCATTTGGATTGAATCCAGTATTTTTTGTTATGGCGTGACCAACTCATCGTGACCAACCCAGCGTGACCAACTCTCATCGTTTGTCATCGGTGCTTCGTTTTGTACTTTTTCCGCGATAGCATACCTCCACAGTATGACCTTCAGCGATTCCCCTCTGGTGTGTCCCACAAATTCCTGTAATGACCTCTTTTGTATCCGATAATAACGAGCAGGAAAGTTGTTCGCCGCATCACCAGTACACCTTCCTCTCACTAAACATTTTATGAATGAACATCGCTAATCTACTGAGAAGGATTTGTACCTATAGACAGGCGCCAGATGACACAATGTTCACCTCTTTAGACTGACAGTTTTTGGTCTAGTCCGACGGTCTATAAGAGCGTATTCAGGATAGGGGTTTTGAACCATTTCGTGGAAGTTTTGGCACTCGGGCTTTGCATTAACCCTTACGAGTTTCCGTCGCCGCTCGTCCTGCGGTACTTCATCCTTCTGTCCACGTACAGAAACGATCGGTTTGTGGTTGTCGCGGTCTTAACTTCTTCCGTTCTCTCCACACCCTCGATCCCAGTGTTGGGTCGTTTTACGGGCTACTAGTGCGTGTAAGCAACCGATTGTACCCATGGATACCATAAGTGAGCTGTCATGTAAGAGCAAAATAAACCCACCAAGCAAGTCACCTACCTATCCTATGTGGTTCAGTTAAGTTTCTTTGGGCTAAAAACCGTGTGTCGAAGTGCATTGGTTCCAGCTAATACAGCTCGTTTACAGACGAGCCACGAATAGAAGGCAATGGTTCAATATGCACAGCAACATCTTGAAAAGCGTCTAACATGCTCGTTCATTAGAGTTTCATTATCTGGCTGAACCCCACGTGCCGCTTTAACCCCAAGCTGTCCAATGTGTATGGATGTTACGATCACAGGAGTTACATAGTGAATAACGAAAACGGCTTTTGTTCGATCTTCTTCTAGTTATGGAGCTGTGTAGATTTACAACTTCAGCTGGTCTCAGCGTTCGCAAGGCCCTCAACTGTTTGGTCCAAAGGGATATGAAGGCCTTTGGATTATGCTTGCTATGCTGCGGACAAGATACCAGACCATGAAAAAAAGCGGACAAGAAGGGTGATGTGCCCCGATGAGTATTGTCAGGATGTGCTTGTGAGTTCCGCATCGGGTAATTGATGCGGCTGTTATGCTTACCCCGGCAACCCAGTGGTTAACATAACAATTTAAATGCCAGTGCTGTAGTTTGTGAAAAAAATACTACCAGAAGATGTCAAATCTAATGGATGTCGAATATCATCGCTAATTCTATTCTTTTTCTTTCCTAATTTCACCAGTCCTATCATTGTTTGGGAGTCTCTCAATGGAGTGACGAATGAACATTCATAGTCGGTTTAAAGGATTTCGTATCACTATTTCGAGTATATTTAAGCTACCCTATTTCTGGCTGTCGCTTTGTTCACCACTCGCAACACGGTGCACTCGGCTTATCTCCATTCTCTCTGCTACCGTTCTGTGTCAGTGCCCACGAATCCCACGCAGACAACAGGTCCCATCCCCGACGCTGCTGCACCTTCAGCGTCAGCTTCCAGTTCGAGTGCGAGAGACAGTAAGATTACGATGGCGACAGTTCAGGTAAAAATTGGACCTAGAACATACGGTGAAATGATCCGCCTTCCACCTCTCTCATCGCTCCTCATCGCGGAAGAGCTTTGCATAAAGTTGGTCGATTTGGATGAAGCTGCTGCAGATTTTGAATTCGCATTTGTACGGTCTCTTTCGCGCCGGCTACGAACTGCGAAGGAGGCGAACGACCTACAGGTAGTTCTTCGCCTGTCGTGCTCTTTTATGCTTCCCAATACCTGTTGTTGATTTACGGTAGTTTAACTATTGTCACCAGATAGATGAACTCCTTTCACTTGGTGTTCTCTCTATATGGTCCACCTGTTATAGCTCTGACAGTTTGATGTTATCTTAACCTATATTCTTAGACCAGCATGAATGGCCGTCGTTCATCAAGAGAACACCATAAGTGGACGACTTGAGTTGTTTTTTTAGGTTTGTGCTCTCATCGACAGAGTTATCTCCTGCATCCGAGCGTTTTATCCATACCACCTCCAGTTCCTCTTAATTAGTCCCTGGTTCCTTCTCTCCACTTGCCATAGTTTCATGGTCGCCAACTTTCTGTGACTTTTGCCAACCCGATGAACCACTCGACAGTTATTCAACTTCCGCCATGACTTACTATAGCATCTTGTACACTGACGTATCAACCTTTCGGCGTACAGCCACCCTGGAACCGGAAAGAAGCGTGAAGATTGATATATTTTCAAATTGACCCAAAGTTGAGGAGGAAATACTGCGAATGCCAAGGCGGGATTCAAACATCCCGACCAGTAGCTCGCACCCTTACCTATCACGGCAAAGTAACATAGTTTGGAGCAGAATATCCAGTTTTTTTTTACCTCATGCTCGTTCCCATGCTGTTGAATCGATGGCGAGAGATGTAATGCTCGCCTCAACGGCAACGTAGCGAACACGAAGTTCATGGTATACTTGCTTTCTGTTAAGCCCTTATTTGTGTTTTTTCCGTTATCATTTAGCCGGCACCCGTGTGCCCTTTGGCGAGAACCCCAAAGATAAGCAGACCTAGAGGATTGTGGCCGTGGTCGCAGGTTCATATGGGTCAACTTACAGTCACGTTTGCGTCTGTCATATCGTACACTCAACCGTAGACGAAAATTTCTGTCGATATCTTGTTTACTTCTAGCATTGCTGAGAGCAAGCGTGAGTGCTGTCCCGCACTGCGTACACATTTGTACTACTGGCCACCAACGAAGCTTGATTAAATTAGAAGTGAATCTATCACACCAGCACTTCAAAGTGTGGTTTACTACCCGATACTTGCCTGCTTCGCAACCATTTTTACTCTCACCGGGAAGGTGTGTTGAAATATTATCGGTCTGGAGTACGTGGTGAGAAGGTTTAACCAACGTGACGCCCATCTTCTGACCGTGTCATATTTTTATTCCATTACCTATCATCAAAAAACTTCGCTGTCAGATGTTGAGTGTATGGCGTGAAAGAAGCGAAACAGTGTTTGCAGTGTATTGCCGTTGCCACTGATACGACTCGTATTCCGCAGACTTTTTTGAGCCACGTGATTTAGCATGCTAGCTCACTGTGGTGCGCTCAAAGTGATCACACCTATTCATACGCTGTGTGTGACTGGTCCTCTGACCCAGATTGTGGTGACGTCGACCATGGTGGCTGCATTCCTCAGTCGTTATTCTGCGTGCAAAAGAGGACCGAGGTATGGTACTGCGTCAGACCTATTACGGACCAATGAACTGATTCACTACATTTTTAGTGGAAAGGAAAGTAAGCTTCGTATTTCTTATAGAGGAATTTCCGGAACGCAGCTGGGAGGTAGTAAGCGAAGTATTGATGTACGGCTTCCAAATCTTTGCTGTATTCACACTTCTGTGGTTAAAACTTGATACATTTGGGCTAAATGAGGGACCAATTACGATCGAGCCCATATACGCCATTAAGACATCAGATACGGTCGTTTCAGAGAGGTTTGGTAAACAATCGGTGGATTTATTGTTTACCAAACTTCTCCGAGGATGACTACCCAATTGGTCCCAAACATTTTCCAGTTGATTGATTGACAGTAGCTAACATGATGCACATTTTTCCCGATTCACTCACTCCTGACAGCTGGTCACTGTTTTGTTCTCGGAGACTCTCATGTGGGGTCTAGCCATCCGACTGTTCACCATGCAGCAACTTGCCGATCGCGACCCGTGCATCTTACTCTCACTCCCGCGACTTGCTGTTCTGGTCGGTTTACGGATATTACCGGATTCACCTATCGGGCCTTCTCGTTTGGCCGCCGGGTAAGCTGACTGAGTGCCAATCTAAATCCTGTCCCCTGAACCCTTGTTTTGTAGTCTGTTATAAAATTAACCGATGCAATTTTACGTCGTACTCCAGTGTTTTCGTTATCAGCGTCCAGTATCCCGACCTAAAGCCGCCACCTTGACGTGGTAGTCGGGCTTGAGTGCTGCAACGACTCAGCGGGTTACACTGGTTGGAACGTCCAGAAGGTGCAGCCATGCCGGTAGGGCCAAAGGGGAGCATTCAAACCAAGAGCAGCGAGACCCCCATACTGCGAGTAATCGTGCTACTGGGCGGTCTAGGGGTAAAGTCGTGCTGTCCTTTGTGACAGGAGTGTGAAGACGGTAAAGTGTTTCCCCCAGACGACTAGCATGTCCATACTTATGGAAGCAGCGGTGCTGCCTTCCCCCGAGGAAAGACGAGTTAGAAAAGGTCGGTCCCGAAAACCGCATACTCTGATCGCCTAACGGCTGATTGTGACCACCGGCGCATTATCCAATACGTTCGAAATACTTTCAAAATCAGAGTCCGGTGCTTCCTAAGGGCACCTGCTGTGCGCACCAGGAATGAGACAGTATTCCCTGCGCTCTCGGGTTTCCGGACCCCATGCATCCGAGCAGGTCAGACTACTGAGTCATGGGCTCCGGGCAGGGTCCCCAAAGGAAAACCTACTATCCGCTGCCTCGTGGGTCAGACTTTTTGATCGTAGGATAGGGGCAGGGTCCCCGAAAAATATCCGACATCTTCCCATTGCCTTGTAGCTCAGACTTTTGAGCCAAAGGCTCAAGGTAGGGTACCTCAACCAAACCCTCTTCCTCGGCCTGGGCAACTGGGAAGTATCATCTGCCCGCGCAGTTCAGCGTCCACCGATGTCCCTCCCCAACCCCCTCCCACTGCACAAGCAAACTTCGCTGGGCCATTTGACTGTCAGTCATCTGACCGAAGGGCCTTATGCTCCACGCTGCCTACAAACCTTAAACAAAATAACACCTTTCTAAATCCACAAGATCCTTTCTATATGGGAGCTTTTAACGTCCGTACTCAAATTGACAATCAGGCAATGCTTGCTGAAACCTTGTACTCCCTTAAAATCGATGTATGCTGTCTCCGAAACACGCATACAAGACCCGAGCGTGGTTAGAATGCCAAGGATGAATTCAGCTCTTTCACATGTCTACCTGCGCGTGTCCGGTGACCTAGGAGCGATGACTCGTGGAATATATGGTGTGGGAGTTGCACCCAGCCCCAGAGCTGAACACGCTTTGCTGGATTGGATTCCGGCGAACGATCGTCCTTGCGCCGTCCGGTTATCCAGTTCAATCATGCTCACTGGCTCTCGGACCAAAAGGCGGTACCTGTTTGTAGTGTCGGCTTATGCCCCAACGGACTGCGGTTCTGATGCTAAGAAGGATACGTTCTTTAGAGAGCTATCAGGGCTCATTCGCTAAGCAAAAAAAGCACTGACATTGTGATTCTTGCAGGCGATATGAATGCTCAAATAGGTCGTCTGAGCTCCTTGGAATCACATTTGGACGATCGATTCGGAGTCGATGTTCACCGCACAGATAATGGAGATCGACTCCCCCAGTTGTGTGCTGATCATGAACTGTTTCTGGCAAGTACGAACTTTCGACATAAACGTTCGCACCGCATAAGCTGGCGGCCATCAACTGTAAATCAACCGTGGACCCAGTTGGACCACGTGGCCATCAGCCACTGGTGGAGAGCCACAATTCAAGATTGTCGTTCCTTCCTGGGGCACGCCACTTGATTCCGATCACGCCATGGTGCGTGCGCGCCTGACAGTTCGTTTCCCTTCAGGCCCTCGCAAGTCAGCAAGAAGCATGCCAATCCACTATTTTCGAAGAACTGCCATAGCTCAACAGTATCGATCTGAGCTAGCCCAACAACTTTCCACAGTAAAACAATCCTGTGGTGGCAGCGAGCTTGTGGATGAAGCGTGGCAAAATGTGAAACGAGCTATACTAGCGGCGTTCAATGCTGCCTGCCCGACTTCTTTAATTCGACCACAAGATCACTGGATGTCGTCGAGGTCGCTATCCCTGATTGATGCCAGGAAAGCCATACCAGCAGGCAACGAGTACGACGGCGCACGCAAATCCCTCAAACGCCAAATAGTGAAGAGTCTAAGGAAAGACCGAGAGCTCTGGCGGACATCGAAAGCTCGGGAGATGGAGAAGGCTTTTGCTACGGGAAACAGCCGTGTCCCTTATCAACTGATACGATCGACTGGCCCTAGGAAAGCAACGGTCAGCGAAACGATGAGTGAGAAAGATGGCTCATTAATTCACTCGCAAAAACGTCGACTGGAGAGATGGGCCGAAGAACAGTTCAGCTGGCCTCCTGCAACACATCCAGTGGAGGTAATGCATACGGGCGAATGGAATGTAAACATTGATTGCCCGTCGGAAGAAACTGAAACGTGAGAAGGCACCAGGATCGGACGGTCTGTATCCAGCCCTCTTCAGAGAAGGCGGAGAATCCCTGGCGATCCATCTGACGAAACTTATAGGTGCTATTTGGAACGAAGAGAAGGTACCTGCAGAATGGAGCATATTGACAGTTATCCCTATCCTCAAAAGAGAGAGAGATCCGTGAAAACCGAGCTGGGTTCCGTCCTGCAAGAGAATGTATCGATCATATCTTCACACTCCGACAAATTCTGGAATAGCGACACTGCTTTCAGCAACCAACAATGGTTGTGTTTCTCGATCTGAAAGCTGCCTTTGACTCCATGAACCCTCAGGCACTATGGCAGTGTCTGTAGAGCAAAGGTGTCCCCCATAAATTCTTGATCCCCCTCAAGGCGCTGTACGCCAACTCCCGCGGCCGTGTGAAGGTCTATGGGAAGCTCTTGCATGAGTTCACCACATTGAGTGATGTTAGACAGGACTGTCCTCTTTCACCACTCCTAAACATCGTCATTGATACGATCATGGAAGACTCACTACAGCCTCTAATGCCTGTTGGGTCGAACTGTTCTCTGGGCGTCCGCTCACAGCTATCGAGTACACAGACAGCATAGCTCATTTTGAATCTGACCCAGTGGTAATTCGAACAATATAATCTAAATAATTTTGCCTCACGGTTCGGCATGTGCTCCACACCTGAAAAGTGTAAAGTGCCACTGTAAGACTAGGTGGGCTCGAACCCTAGCCTCATGCTTGCGGATGAACCGATTGAGTTAGTAGACAAGTTTATTTACCTGGGCAGCTGTATCAGCCTCGATGGTCTCGTATAAGATGATATTTTCATCTGTATTGGGAAGGCCAGAGTAGATTTTGCGAAATTGCGTCACCTGTGGCGTAGACATGACATCAGCTTCTCTGTCATGGGTCGAGTTTACAATGTGGCGGTGCGCTCCATACTGCTGTTTGGATCAGAAACCTGGCCGCTGCGTGCTGTGGACGTCAAAAAACTTTCAGTGTTTGACCATCGATTTCTTCGGGGCATTGCCCGAATCTGGTGGGAACATCGGATCAGCAATGCTGAAGTACGTCGAATGGCATTCGGAAAAATAACTCATTCTCGGTAGATGAACTGGTCACACTGCATAGGTTGCGCTGGCTTGGCCACGTGCTGCCAGTCGACCGACTTCCTCATAGGGCTCTTTTCGCACAGGCAGGTGAAGGGTGGAAGGGATCCAGAGGTGGTCAAACAATGACTTGGCAGCGAATTATAAAAGTCATTACCAGCAAACTCAGCCGCGCTGGTCATTGCCGTCTTCCTGGATAGGGACCCCGAGACAGGCCACATCAATGGTTAGAGACATTGTCAGAAATGGCCCAGTCGCGCCCTCAGTGGCGCTCATGCATGCAAGCTATTGCCCTAAATGCATAGCTCCCTTCCGAATTCCTTCACTTATAAATCCACTGACAGTGCTGTAGTTACGCACCAATTTATCAGCCCCCGCCTCCAATGCACAGCTTCTTACCCCACCTCATCAGTGAACGAAACTGTGGAAGCTACAACCACTGTACGACAGGTACACGGTTGTTACAGCTGGCAATCATGATGATGCGTCCAGTCTGGTTTGTTTTTGTTTACCAGATCGGAATATCTGCTGTTCATAGTTTGTCTGAGATCGTGACCCCCAACGAGAACTTGTGGTCCTTGCTGTGCTGTATTTTGTCTGCGAACACCACCACCACCTAAGTGCACTTGAAGCACTCAACAGTTACGTCAGCGCTCTGTTTGTTTACACGTGAGTAATATAAGCATTTCAGTCCTCAATACAACAGAAGTAAACTTTCTGTTACAGTCATGCGCATTGGCTAAGTTTTTCTCTAGGTCTTTCTTTGCGTTTTTATTCCTCTATGAATTGCTTGTATTTCACTGGACAAAACCTTGCTTTTTTAACATTGAACCATATTGGAAAATACGTTGGAGAAATTTGACACATGCAACATCCACGGTGTTCTTTACACAATTTCCGAATGGACTTGGTATTGCGGATTAACTAAAATTCATCGCTTTTATTCTCAAAACTAGTTGTAATCTCTCATCATTTAGTTATCGTCACCAATAACGACACTTTTGTCTTCTGTCACCGATGAACTTTCAGAAAAGGTTTCGCATTACCATCTCTCAGTCCCTATCCACCATGCAGGATGGATTGTCCAGTGCACATTATCGTAACGGTAGCTGTCCCGCTAAGCAATGCGTTCTGGTTTTCTGGTCTCGATTCTACGTTTGCTACTCTCACATGCGCCCCTGTTTTAGTACAGTTCTACGCTCTCCCTGATGGACGCTTCCGAGTGCGTGATAACAACCATTACCCTGTAATCGCATAGCGAGCGAGAGCGAATAGCGAAGCATCAACACGGAGTCACCGCACGGATCTCAAAAACCAGAATGGCGTTTACTAACTTGCGCCACTTGTGGCGTCAAAAAGACATTTCACTGGGACTCAAGGGGCACGTGCGGGCTGTTGATGTATGGCTGCGAGAGTTGACCGATTCCTGTGAAAGAAATGAGATATCTCCAGGTGTTCGACCACCGATGTCTCGGAAGTATGACTGGAATCGGCAGGAACCAACACATTCGGAATGATCTGACTGGGAGACGCTTATTGTTGAAGCAGGCGGCACTTCACCCACAGAATGCATCTAACACTGCTAGGTAGGGTAGGTGGGCCATGTGTTACGCATACCGAGTTGAACAATGCGCTGTTTCCCCACAGCTTACTTCCGATAATGACGAAAATATGATCCAAGTCACGAATCTGTACCCCCATTTCCAACGGTGCGGTAGGTTCCAGTTTCTGCACTGCTCGGTTGTTGAAAGTATTCTCCGTCGAACTCGGAGTAAATCGTCGAGCTGGGATTCTAGGGTTTGTAGTATGGCAGTGAGGCATCAGTGCCAACACTGATGTTGCTGTCTTTGATGATGATGATGAGAGTTTGTGGGTTTCGTCTTTCTCGGGGACTGCATGGGGTACTCAGCGGCAGCTGCCCCATAGAATCGGGACCAATTTACGCATTGATGGGATGATATCGAATAACTTCGTTATCTCTCCTATTCTCAATCGTATGTCCTCAAATTTTTGTACCAAAAAACTGCTGCGAATTGCAGATTAGAATTTGGGTTCCACTTGTAAGCTCTTACACCTCTGTTCGCTTCTGCTTACCGTTAATGTTATGCTGTTGGGTTGCAATTTTGCGCAAATATTTACTTCCGAACTCTAGTTCTTTTGAAGAGCTAACAAATCTCTGTTGCGGATTGTTTAACCTGTTCAATAGCTAGACGGTACACATAATCTGTGAAATGCATATGGTCTTCTGTAAAGTATGTCACACGGGTCCTTTTCTTCGATCTACAGGCGACGTCTACCTTATATGTTTACAAAGTCTCGCAGTGATTTAGCCTACTTAACTCGGCAGTTGTATGCGTTGCGGCTTGATCAACTGTGCCGCCTGGTTCGTTGGCTCGGACCACGGGGCTTGCCAAATTTCACAGGCAGTGGTCACTCAAAAGCCAGTTCGACAAATCAGTCGTTTGGTTCTTCCTCTCCTGCCCGTCCTGGCTCTCCAGGTAATCAGTGCGGGCATTCGTCACCAGGTCGTCCGGTCCCATGTCAGCGGAGTTCGGGAAGTCCGGTTCCTAGAAGTGGTCGTCTTTGGCGGACTCATTTGGCTGGCCTGCATCGAATATATAAACGTGTCTCGGAGGTTGCTGATCGATTCAGCAATGAATATCCTACTGAGCTGCGTTTCATTCTCCAGGTAGGTTCGGTATTTGAACTTTGGTTAGGCATTGGTTCAGGATGCACGAACCTCTACTCATGGAAATCGTACTTGCCACAACCATATGATTGATTATTTCATCTCAGCTTCTGTGAGCAGTCGATAAACCAACCTTTCAGACAAAAACCTCGTTTATTTTTGGGTATCTGCTAGGACTGTCTAAAAAACCACTATTCTGTTGTTCTTTTCTGAGACCTCACCAGTATGCGTATGTTTTACGCGTGAATTTTCCTGGACAACTTGATTATCCACTAATTCTGTACCTCACATAAATGGGCACGTCATGACAACATAACACTCAAACCTGGTGGAAAGAACTGTTCCACTTGCAATGCTACACGGAGGCCTAAGAATGAAGTACGAATGTTTCGCTTCAATGCGGAGAGCTACTCAACCACCTGTGGCAACCACTTATGCCAAGAGAGGTCCGTGGAGTACAGGTCATTCCCCTAGACAGCCCGCAGTATTGTTTTCTTTTAACCATTATTTAGTCTTCCCTCTTCCCTGAGACGGGTGCAGTAGGTCTTCGTGGTGTTTCCTCTTGGGGGAAATTACAGGATGAATTTTTATCGCTTGCCCATTTGAAAAAGTCACCTTTGGTTGTTGCGGGATTTGTAGCATTCACTTCCACACTACTCTCGTTTGGACAGTTTTCCTCTTTTCCTGGTGAGTTCACACCAGAGTGGGAAACGCTGGATTTGGGTTTCACTCTTAGTTCATCAGTCTTTCCTCTTTTCCTGGTGAGTTCACACCAGAGTGGGAAACGCTGGATTTGGGTTTCACTCTTATTGGAGTTCATCAGCAGTGCATATCCCTGGCCTTGCTGGATTGTGAGCTTTGGAGCTTGTTAGCGAGGTGAGCTTGTTACCAATACTCCGTCAGTGCACGTTGGGCACAAATGGTGGGGAGGATTCCGATGTTTTGGGGTCCCTAAGCTACCTATCAAGGGCTTATCAAAGACCGGACATTCTGCTTAAGTTCTATTCTTACTGAAGAACTCAACATCTTATTGGAACTCGTCAATTAGTTGTATAAATATGTGTTGTGGGGCCCAAACGCGAAAAAAACATTAAACATAACCTGACCGTTGCTTTTTTTTCCCTAGCTTCCATAATTACTTTTAATAGGCGCATAAACCAGCTGCACGAATGCCCGTTTTTCGATAACGCATAGTCCCTGAAGGATGTGTGTGGAACGTGGATATTCGGACCTCAAAATGCTACTACATTTGGTCTAATTAATTAGAAAGTCAAGTACTAACCCTCAAATCTGACAAAATTAGCTATTGGTAACATATCGAGTGGTTCGTCTCGAGGGTAGGAGAATTCCAGAATATAAATTCCTGTTCTTCTTCGGAAGCGATATCAACATCATGGGGGTTGTGGTGACATAACCATATAGAGAGATTTTGTGAAAACTTGCTGGAATAATCCGGCGACTCAGTGTATCACAGTCAGCGGGCCGTCGTTCGAGGCGTTGGTCAAATGTGAACACATTCGTCTGTTCAGATGTGCTGATGGGGTAGTGGAAGCACGTTCACCTTGCATGTCTGATTTCCGGAGAACAAACCCTGACATAGCCAGGGGTGAGCTCCAGTAAGAGCGAAACTCGAGTCGAGTGCCCCCTCCCTTTGGTGTGGACTCACCAGAATAATTGTGCCATTGCAGGAACGGGACTATCCATACTTGGTTGACATTTCAGCCCAACAATAAGTCAGTCATGTAAAATTAGACCACCTAAGTCGAATCGCTCCTTCACATAGTTGACCTTGACGCTACCAATGCGAGTTACCACTCAGCACCGCATGACCGGTGGATGTAACGCATTCCAAAGAATGAAAAGCGAATCGATTTACGTTTCTCGAGAGCTGATCGTCACCTTTTTGTCCTGTATTTTAGTAGGTCTTTTCGTACGCTCCTTTAACTGCGCTCACTCACAGTTATTTTTTTCTTAATCAGTCCTGCGTTGAAATGCATGACACTAGTCGAGAAGTAGCTGCAATCGCTCAGATGGAAGGTCGGGACTTAGACGAGCAAGATGGAGCCACTGATAGTGGGGAATCCAGTGAAGTGGCCTTAGAAGGTGAGGTCCACTTGGGGGAGCACGTTTTTGCTGACGCGTCCAAATCCTACTCAGCTTTGGCGCAGTTACTCGACTGGTCTGGAGTTGTGAGCTGCCGGAAAATCAAGCAAAGCCTCTCTGATGTTTTAAAGACCTCATGTTCCCATTTTGAACGAACAAAGCCCGGCACACCTGAGCTCTCCCCTGGATCGCCTACGAAACATGCTGTCGATGAGGCTAGCGAATGTGATCAACAAAACGAATCACTTTCCCTGGAACTGGGATTGGATGTAGCCGCATGGCTTGAAGACGATAGACAGAGAGATAACCGAAGTAGCCGTCATGAGACCCAAGCTTCTTGTTTCCCCCGCTGTTCCACGGAGTTAAACAGGAATGACGGTACAGCGACAGGCGAACCAAGTATGTTTCCATACTTAATTCTAAATCTATGTATGCAAATGGTCCATTTCTTTACGAGCGTTGTTTTACTCGTTGAAAAAGTTGAGCTTGTTGTTTGTGAAGATGGCACATTGTTCTCCCAGTAAGCTTCCTCACAACATAGTCCACCTCTAACTAAGGCCACTTCATCAGTGTCCCGTATGACTTGACTTATAATTGATGCCTGCGGCCTTATGGGAACACCTGTGACCAAAGGTAGTCATTTCACACTTGGAAAATTGAACTAAATTTAGTAATCACAAAAAGGATTCATGCTAGAATCTTGTATCAGCTTTTAGCTCAATGTGGACTCCATTTTCACCCAGTACTTGTATAGCGATGGTGTTCGTCAGTGAGTAGCACTATCTGGTACCGTCTACTAGATGATAGATATTCGTCGTAGGGGGACTGGTTTGTCATTGGAGTGCTTTACTAGGTGGACAGTTATGTTACTGTCTCCAGTTTCTCATCGTATCACTAGATGCGGTTAAGCTTTGTATGTAAGTGTTCACTCACGTTCACACGAGGTTCCTCACTCATTGAGGGTCACTCTGCATCTGGGGTCACATGTACCAGATCTCATGCATTTTAACTGTTCTGACGGATTACCATACGTTTCTCTCTTGATTGAGTTGGGTTCATGGGAAAAATAAGTTTCGATAGGCGCAAACGCAGTGAAGCATCAGTGCCAACACTGATGTCTGTCTTTGATGATGATGATGCAAACGCAGTGAAGTTCCTCCGTTAGAGCCAACTGCGGGGATTATCTCTACGTCTAGGCGTAGGCCAATGCCACTGCCCAGTCTGTGAAAGCCGTGGAGCATATACCACCTGAAGTCACTGGATAAGGGTACCGCTCCTCCTCCGTGGTTCGATCACTAACATCAATTCAATCCATCACCTCCGATGTTCTCTTACCCCAACTACTCTCTTCCTCTCTCTCGTGCAGTGTTGATCTGATTCACCGCTATCTTTCAGGCCACTTATTCCGTTTCTTCCGCTTTGAGGATGGATTTGTGCCTACGCTCATTCACGTTTCTCTACCGTCCCTTCAGCGTCCCTCGATTGCTGACGGTGCTTGAGTTGCAACGGCTTGATTCATAGTCGCTCTCCAACGTAAAAAAACATTTTATTGTGCATATCGGCCACGCAACAGCAATGAGATCACCTAGGTTGTCTTTTGAGTGTCGACTTCGCCAATATCCTGCACTAAAATACCGCTGATGAACTGAATGACTTCGGCGATTTCGATTTCCACAAATTTGATTAGCTAACACCTTCAGGTACCTTAGTATGATCAGGGGTGGGTGTAACATTTCATAGCATGGCCTAGCTTATCCCATTTCTCGAAACGCTTTCAAAGACCTTGTTCTTCTGAGCGTTTACTAGACTGGATTTTCGTGGCAAGTGTATTTCTGATAAAATGAAGGCGAAATTGGAGGTTGGGCGCTTTAATCTAGTTTAGAGACCATTTCTTGGGAGTTGGTCAAACTTTGCATTTAGTCCACCAAGGACGGTGCATGAATTGGCGGCGAGGACTCTAATGCTGTTAAACTACCATTCTTCGTCTTTCGGATACCAAGCTAAGGCACTGAATTCTCAGCATACGGGGGATTACGATGCACTCATAAGACGCATGGATTGGAAAAATCACGGACTATTAGTGAACCACGACTTCCATATTCTGCTTTTCTGTCTTGCGGGTCTTTTCTTGGTTGAGCAAATATTCCCGTAAGAAAATTCCATCGACTTCCGTCCATCACCATTGGGTGGAATACTCACACTGTAAGTGTCGAACTGCACGGCATCCGCAGCTATGGGTTTTCGCTAGGTGTGTGCGTCCTTCGGCGGCTTTTTCCTTGATTTGCAATCACATCTAATGTTTTCGGAACTTACCTGGATTTTGTGTTTGTATCGTATCTGTGGCCTTTCTGGGCCTCGCACACCGCTCTTCACTTGCCAGTTTAGCAGTTGTTTTGGAATGCATCCAGATGCTCCCGATTCCATATTCCATTTTCGCCCCCTGAACAAGTTGAGTATTATGGATCCAGTAGGTGCATAACCCTCCATGAGTACCGCAAATTGAATCTATCCAGGATCCTGATGTAACTACGATATAACGCTCATATCTCTGCCGTACAAAAGTGTAGACAATACGATAACACGGTGCCTGACCGATGCTGACTACTCCAGATACGCTTTGGAGCTTTCCGAATGCGATGCTAGCCCTCAACACCTGTAAATTCAGCCCTGTGTCAGTCGTTGGGTCCGGATAACAGCTACTCGAGGAACGCTGTATCCCATTGTTATTTCCCTCTATACCTGGCAGGTTTTGGTGACCCTGGGCGCGGATTGATATAAGGGAAGTGTATAAATCAATCAATCAGTTCAATCAATTTGTCAGCTATAAACCGTGTGCCATGGGCACATTGGTTTCAGCTGCTACCGTTTCGATCACCGGAAAGCGGGAAAGTGGAAGATACAACCAAGCCTTGGAAGTGAAAGCATGTTCAGTTTGTTCGGAAATTGGGTAGCTACGCATTGAAGGCGATAGCTTTGATGGACGAGCGCCACTGACTACGCGATTGGACCATTTCCACCAATGTTATTAACCATTGTTGATTGGAGTCCCGGGGTCCCCATCTAGGGAGGCGGCAGTGCTTAGCCGACTAAGTTTACTGGTTAGTGTTTTCGTACTTCGTTGCCAAGTCATACAGTGTCCACCCCTCGGTCACTTTCACTCAGAACAACGCTGGGAGAAAAGAGCTCCGTGAGGCAGACGGTCTTCTGGCGTACGGATTACATGTTCCAACCGGCGCGAGCAATTCATCTTTCTTCCCACCAGACCTAACCAATGCTGCGGAGACACTGATGATCAAATATCGGCATAGTCCGTATGTCCTCTGCGAGTCTCTGGTCCATAAAGCAGTATTGTTCGCGCCACCGCAGTGCAAACCTTTCCCTTGACAGACAAAGCCACGTCACGTCGACGTCATAGGTGTCGGAGGCTGGCAAAAGCCGCCCTGGTCTTTCCGATTCGAGAAACAATATCATCTTGTGAAGGATATGAATCAAGGAAAGTCATATCGTCTGCATACTCGATGTTTGTGAGGAACGTCCTGGGAGCGTTTCGACTCCCGAGGTTTCGGGGGCAGTCATAGAAATTTCAAGCGGCATATCAGTAACAAAGTTGAAGAGGAAAAGCGCAGCCTTGTCTTTCACCATTGGATGTGGTGAACTCAAGCGAGAGTTTTCCCGTATACTCGTGCGCGCCCACGAGCATACATACAATGCCCTCATAAGGGAGAGAAATTTGGAAGAGATACGTTTGATCGCCAGACATCGCCAAAGTTGCTTATGATCGACGGAATCAAAGCAGCTCTCAAATCCAAAAAAAAACAACCAACGTGGGATGTCTGAAGGAGTGATGCTGCTCAAGATTCCGTCTCAAGGTAAAAGGTATGGTTGATGCATCCTCGGCTGGGGCGAAAACCAGCTTGATTCTCACGAATCCGTCTCTTCTAATAATCCATCAACCTGCGCGAAATAATTCCAGAGAGCACTTTAGATGCGACTGATACCAGGCTGATACCACGACGGTTTCAACATGACGCACTTTCTCCCTTTTTGCAAACTGGGATGACGGTCGAGGAGTTCCACGCGGCTGGTATTCTTTTTTCGTTCCAAATCGTCTGCAGTATGGTTGTCAGACTGTTCACCAGGACCTCTCCGCCTTTGAAGAGCGCGGGCTGTAGACCATCCGGGCCAGGTGCCTCGTCGTGCTTCAGGATTGAAGTCTCACGCTGGATTTCGGTTGCTGGTGGTGGGTTGGTTGCAATGTTCCATTTGGACCCGCTTGGTTCTTCCACCGGTTGTGTTGAAGAAGGCCAGGTGAACTGTTCTTGGAATCGTTCAGCCCACCGCTCAAAAACGGCGATTGAGGGAGTGAATTGCTGTTCCGTCTTTCTTGCATATTGTCTCGCTGACATCTGCCTTCTTTTGACCCGTTGATCGGATCAGTTGAAACAGGACGCGGCTGTTGCCTACAGTGGAAGTCTTCTTCATCTCCTGGGCGTTCGAAATCCACCAACATTCTCTGTCATTCTACCAGCTCCCGATTGTTTGGTGTTTGAGGGATCTGCGTGCGCCATTATAGTCGCTGGTTGCTGCCAAACAATCTTCGTCGTTCACATGACTGCATTTCTCGTAGCTTTCTAGCCAGATGAGCTCGATACTCTTCAGCTAGCGAAACTTGTCGAAGTTTGTGAATGAAGCTGTTCTCTTTCTGCGTGTGGAGTGCTGGCGGAAAGCGAATTGCTAAGCCGTCCCGCACGATGGCGTGATCAGAGTCAAGTTGTGTACCCCAGATGGAACGACAATCCCTAACTGAGGCTTTCCATGGGTAACTGATAGCTGTATGGTCCAGTTGGGTCTACGGCTGTGTTGCCGACCGAAGCAGTCTTGACAGATCTTGATAAAACTCGTCCTTCTCAGCCTCAGAACTGCTATCTGTTGGGGCTTATGCTGATACGACCAACAAACACCGCTTACCGCATCAACCTGCGTTAATCTTAATTGCGCCAGACAACCGCACAACGCAAAAGCAACTGTTTACTGTGATCCAGTCCAGGAAGGCAATTTCAGCCTTGGGGCTGAGTGCAACTCCCACACCTTAGATACTATGAGTCATTGCGTCAGGATCACCGGATACCCGAAGAGTGAAATGTGGAACATCTGGGCTCATCCTGAGCGGCTTGATGAGTACGATCGAAGTGGGGTCTTGTATGCGTGTTTTGGAGACACAACCTACATCGATAGAGAGGGAAAGGAAGGTTTCAGCAAGGAATGCTTGTTGCCCAATTTAACGTAGAGTATGGACATTGAAGGCTGCAACGTAGATCAGAACTTTTGAGGTTAGTAGATCATTATTTTGGTTTATTATTCTAGGCGATGGTTGAGATACGGAACAGTGGGTAGGGTATTGGCAGATGGGTTGATTGCACTGCACTGTACGATGGGTTGGGGGAAGGGGAATGATACTTCTCGATTGTCCAGGCCGAGGAAGGGGGCTTAGTTGAGGCATCCCACCTTGAGCCTTCGACTCAAAATTCCGACCCACAAGGCAGTAGAATGATTTAAGGTTTTGTTTGGGGGCCCCGCTTCTGGTCTCTGACTCAAAAGTCCGAACCACAAGACAGCGGTTGTTAGGGTTTTCTTGGGGGACTCTTCCAAGAGCCAATCATTGAATAGTCTGACCTACTTGGCTGTAGGGGACTGGCCTGGCCCGAGGTAGCAGGGAATAGGGCATTACTGTCTCGCTCCTGATGCGTCTGCGCACAGCAGGTGCCTTTCGGGCAGCACCGGTATTTTGACCGTATTGAATAATGCGCCTGTGGTCACGATCAGCCGTTGGGCGGTCGGAGTGTTCGGCTTTCGGGGCCGACGTTTTCTAACCCGTCCTTCCTCGAGGGAAGACAGCATCGCGGTTTCCGTAAATATGAACATGTTGGTCGCCTGGGAGAAACACCTTACTGCCTTCACACTCCTATCGCGGAGGTGACAGTTTTGGGTCGGGAAAGTGTATGAAAGACATATTCAAGCCAAAATGGGATGATGCAGGCGCTCCAAAGCCGCTTCAAAATGTACCAATAAAGCAATCGTCAGCTAAACGCAACCTACAGACCTTCGAATAATGTAGTATTCGTTTAATGGAAAAATGTTTTGAATCGACTAGTTGACTATCCAGACGACAGTGAGCGGTCGTACCATCGAGACTTTGAAGCACCCTCGCGCATATTGCGATTAGATACAACCTGCATAAAATTGTTGCCATAACGAATCCTTATTTCGCCCCGGTGTCAAGGTTACAATTTAAAGATGTAGTTCTACAAGGTTGGACATTAGCCTTCATCCCAGCGTTAAGAGATTTGCCGAGATTGCCAGATTCGGGAGGGTAGTTTGTTTTTCTGAAGAACTATCCAGAACGCGTCTTTATTTACCGAATAGAAGACTTTTGTGAAGTTAACGAATAGGACACATGGCGGTTGGTTATATCTGCGGTATTGCTTGATAGTGATGTTTGGAGCCACACGAGCCAGGGGGACATTAAAGGAAGTTTATGGATCGCAAAACACTTCCCTCCTCGACAACCCACGACCGGTTTCATTCTTCGGCTTCATCAGGTTGGCATGATCTCCGTGCTTCCATTAACTCGATGTTCTGTTGTAATCCAAGTTAGACATAATTCGACGCACTCTCATATGCACATAAATTTGGTTTTGACAGGAGAACTATTGTCCTCATTTCCTCTGAGCAACACCACCTACCTTTTTTTCCAACTCTTATTGTCCTTAAACTATTAAGCATGTTTTTCGTATATCCAAACTTTAACGCTACGCCGCTATTCACAATTCACATATTGCTCACTTTGTCTGTATTAGCGTAGTTTCCACTGCCCCGTTGCTTGATTGAGCTAATCTTACTATGGGTGCTCTCTTGCTCCGTAAGCCAGTTTTGCGATTAGTAAAAACGCATGAATTTACACGTACCGTACTTTGCATCCTGATGTGGACAGCAATTGGATTTTGATCAGCCAATATCACGAGTGTTGAATGGGTGTAAGCTCATGCTTATGGATTGTAAGTTGGGGTTGGTTGATATCACGAGTGGCAACCAGTGCGATCGGAGACGGCTATCACATCACTGCTCAGAGATATGGAGTCTGTGCACTTCAGAGGTGTCATACAAACGGTGTCTTTACTTTGGCAGTCATGACTTCGGATCGCTAAGGTGTTTAAGGCAGAGTGAACCTGTGGATTGAGAACTTTCGGTCATATAATCCACCGATTCTGGATATCACAAATTATGGTCAAACTATGGCCGTGTAAAGTAACAACCGACGTAAGCGAAAGCTGATTTTTACAAACGAGCTCACCGACAACTGGCGGATGCGTTTCCCTTCAACCCACTGGGGGTAAGCGCCTTTCAGAATGTGAAACTGCCAAATAGCAAACGTGTTTGAAGACATCGCTGCGTTGGGCAGGTAGAACGAGCAACGCATCCACTCTCAAGCGCATGAATGATCAGTTTTCTCCACAAATCTTTTAATCAATAACTACCATTTATAAGATACGTTTGTGGTCTGTTGAAACTCCCCGTTTGCTTGTTAACAATATAAATAATAATAAAACCCTTTCGGTGCCTAGCTGCCATGCCATCCGAAGGAAGCACGAAGGGTGGGATACTGCCAGGTTGCTCAAGTCTAGACAGAGGAGGTCGACAGGCAGAGGTCGTATTCGAACCACTTCCTTCTAACCACTGAGTCGTCCCGATTAGTCAAATACCCCTTAATTTAATATCATTCGAGCACTAACTTCGGTGTGTAAGCGGTCAAACTTCTTAGTTTAAACTCTCACGTTCTGTAACCTAACCAATATACGATCGTGCTTCGCATTCCAGGCTTCATACCGCGGTGTCAAATTGGTTTAACTATAGCCTACTCACCAGTTGGCAGAAGAAAGCACAGAACTTGAGCTGGTTCCTTACTAGATTTGGGCGCCTCTTCAAAGGAGAAACGGTTTCTCGATCCAGACGTTGTTTTTTGTAGCTGGAACTACTCTATTTGAATGATGTCTGGCGATCATCATCTGTTTTGAAAGTGACAAACTAATTGGCTAACCGGAAGCTACACTCTGACTGCTACTTCAACAGCGTTTTGCCAAAACATCCTACAGCCACCTAAGAATAAGTCTTTTTGACTTTTCAGGTACATTCAGTCAAAAAATGAGCAAACTCAATTTGGGCACCGCAGTCGAAGGAAAACGAACATCAGACGACCGGCTGTTCCACTACCTACCACCTTGGCAGCCAGACAGATTAGGAGACTTGTCCCCCAGTCATACAGAGGCCACCGATAGTGATGAATCCTCTGAATCCGACCAATATAGTGAATCAGATCAATCTCCTGTACTCGTGATCGGACGCCGGTGTGCTTCGTGCCTCCAGTCATTTACGATATTCCGTCGTCGGCATCACTGTCGGCGTTGTGGACACATTTTCTGCGGTAGCTGTTGTAACAAATGGCAAACCGTGGAGGGACTGGCTACTACGAAAGCCGTGAGAATTTGCTCAGAATGCCACGAATTTCTGAATACAAGTGTATAATATACAATGGTTTCCAGAACCGTATAATCATATCATGCCACACTGCACTCTGCCCACCCCAAGAGGCACATCTAGTTACACTTACGGTTTCCGAGTGAGCAGATGGTGTGATGTCCACCTATAACTAAAGCTGACTTTTACTTGGCCTCGCCTTAACTGAGTGACTTGGTCGTGCCTCACTCCAAGATTCAACCTGTGATTACTCTGTATCCTTTACGAACACCTCTTTCTAATTCGATTTTTTTTCATCAATTCACTCGAACGATTGTATCACCCACAGCTGTATCTTGTCAACTCATTATCCCTTACACAGTAGTGATGCTTTGGCATATTCTGTGTTTTTTGCACCAGTTTCGGTTGCAGCTCACTGGCATGGCCAGTTACTGCGTCTACCTATCGAGCCGAAATGGGATGGTCGTTTAGGAAAATCTGACAAGATGAAATTCCTCTCACACAATGATTGCTGAGTAGAAATATGGGATCAACACATCCAGGACAACGTTTGTATTGTCCAGATTAGAACTTCCTTTTACGAGCTTTATTCTTTTAGGTCGTTACTTTTGCAACCTAAAGTAATTCGACAACGTCTCGCATACAAGCATCAAGCAAAGATAACTCTACGCAATTCCATATGGTCGAAGGACTTTTTGGGATCCGGCTACACCTTTCCATCCACCTTGCAACTAAAATATAGCTTGATATGGCTTGATAAGTTTCCGAACGGTGTGTCGGTTCTAGTAAGCCGATTGTTCAGATCGTCGGCATAGTAGATCAAGAACCACATATGAACTTTGCTTTTAGTTGTCTTTACTGCCTTTGAAGCTGCGGTATGTAGACGTTCCCGAATGGTGTGTGCTCCAGTAAGCTGGGATGTTGCGGAAAGATGTGATGTCGGACAATGTTTTGAGGCATCTCAAATTGTAGCTGTTCCCGTTTTAGTTCGAATCCAGTGAAATACAATTTTATACCCCGTTCTCCAAACTAGATGGCTCTGTAGAACCCTTTCTCAACCGATCAACATGGTGGTGACTCGGCTGCATACAATCAACGGGTTGAACATCTCGGACTAGATAATTTGCTTTCACGCACACACGCTTTGTTTGCTTTTCGAGTGCACAACACGTTCGAATTACAGCGTGGTTTCGTATGTTTGTAGCGGATTACTCCACGACCTCTGATTATCATGGTCGATTTTCAAGCGCACCTGATACTGTTGGTTTTTTTTTTTTATTCCGACAGGTCTTATATATCACGAGCCTTATTTGGCTTTGGAACGAACACCGCCCGGAGTCTCAGACCACCATTTCTGCTTTGTACTTACAATATTCAGTTTAGTTTCAGTAACAACATCAATTAACTGAAAGATGGCATTGCGATAGAATCTCCTTTGAGTCCCATGCTAGCGGATCGATTCATGGGCGAATGGGAAGCTCAGTAGCTAATTGCACTCATCGAACAATTTATGCTATATGGTCCATACATAGATGCGATATCACAGCGGTTAAGGCGCGAACTTACCGACCGGAAGGTCCGTGGTTCGAACCCGATCATGGTAAGACGACTTTTCTTGTCTGTGCTTGTCGGTATCTCAGCCCTTATGGTTCATTCGGATAGCTTGACAGCTATGCATCGAGAGAGTGTTATAGCTTAACGGTTGGCTTCTTGTTGTTCTACATAGACCACATATTTGTACGTGCCGCTGATAATATCAGACCAACCGAATTGCTACACAGTTCCAATGTAGTTCATATCAACATCAGTTTTGTTTCTGAACGGAGAGCTAAATCTTCGCGATCTTGACATGCGTAAGAAGGTAAATGGTACTACGCAGCGCAGTGTTCACAAAAAACTGCGAAGCTAAGAACTAAACAACAATCGGTTACGATTAATCGGTACCTCAGCCCTCGTGCTTCCTTAGGGTTCAACAGCAACTGGGTACCGATAAGGTGTCGTCGATTTCGGGGTAAATCGAACCGAGCGTACGGTCATCATTAACTGTCACATTTAACAACACTGATGCTTATCTGCTTACATCAGCACACTTTTGTCTGTTCTAGTTTCTCACAGGAGGGCAAGGGCAAAGTTGGAGAGAAAAAGGACCCAATTTCAGTCTTTCGGAAACGCCTAAGGTGCCTGCACTTCACAATCTGGGTGAAAACTGACAGCGTGAACGCCTTGAACACCGATCATCTGCCATGTATCGCAGCGCTTTTGTTGGGGTCACAGTGATTCCATCCCAGCGCACAAACTTTCCTAAGTTTCCCCTCTCTCTAGATGCGCCACAAATCATCTGTATCTTACTACATACCACCGAATTTGGCGCGCAGTGATAGTGATAGCAGTGCCAGCGGACTAACACCAGGAAACCCGTCTATGCCAGAATGGATGTGTGTGCAGGCGTAACTGTAACCGGGTTCCTTATGACTTGATTGAACTTCATCGTTATCTGAATTTGTGTAGGTAAACACGGTGCTCGTTCTGACTCACCTCTTGTGGAAGTTACGTGTCGTGCAACGTCTGCAACCTCTGGACTGGCAAAACTCTAACTACTTACGAGTAGCCCGGAGTTCAACTGTTAGTGTGGACCTCTCGGATTGCGGAGGTGAAGACCAGTAAAGGGGCATGGAGCTTACCAGCTGATAGTTAATTTTTTAAGGGGATTTAAAATAGTAAAGCAATCAAAATCGAATAATCCGGGTAACCCGAGCTGTCGGGGGTCAATGGCCAACAGGACCCCGAATACTTCAGCGCGATGAGGAACAGTCCGTACGTCGATCTAGCCCAATGGCGACTTATGTAGGACGAGTTATAACGAAGAAAATACTACGCGGTATCATACAATAGTCATGAAACTTGTTATTGCCTTCATATGAGGGGTAATGTGACTAACTCAAGTCCATGCCCTAAAATAGGCATAATGCTCCTCGAAGGAAGGGATCTAATCTGTTTCAACTGACAGAGATGGATATTGTCACCGTTGAAATTTCAGGGTAACTCGTTGCTCGTTAGCTCAAGACAAAAACTGGAGGGAGTGGCCCGTCCATCTGTTTTTTTTGTTCCTCACACCGGTTAGGTGAACGGATGAACTCTAATCAGTGGAATGGCTGTATACACTCTGCCAGTGCTAATCAGAAAGAGATACAATAGTCATGAAACTTGTTATTGCCTTCATATGAGGGGTAATGTGACTAACTCAAGTCCATGCCCTAAAATAGGCATAATGCTCCTCGAAGGAAGGGATCTAATCTGTTTCAACTGACAGAGATGGATATTGTCACCGTTGAAATTTCAGGGTAACTCGTTGCTCGTTAGCTCAAGACAAAAACTGGAGGGAGTGGCCCGTCCATCTGTTTTTTTTGTTCCTCACACCGGTTAGGTGAACGGATGAACTCTAATCAGTGGAATGGCTGTATACACTCTGCCAGTGCTAATTCAGAAAGAGGGTTTGGAATTGTCCAAATTTTACAACTGCATTGTGAAGTGGAGTACCGAAAATCTTGTTTTGCGTGCATACAATGTTGTCCGCTTCAGAATTTCCGTGTCTAGCGTAAAGACATGTACTTGTTAATCTTAAATGGGTCCTACACGTTAGCATTCACTGGATACCACCACGCCAACTGATATCTGCTTGGCCGAACACGTTTACGGAAGCAAATTCGGCCAATTTTTACAGTTCTGAAAGGAAATGGTAAAGCTTTGGTAGGTTCGGACAAGCTATTTTGACTATAACGTCATCCCATCCGATGGAGTTATGGTTTTTTCACTGAATAAGAGCAGTGACGTGGACCTTGCACCTTAGAACTCTCCCACAATGTGTCACGTCGCATTGGCTGACCTTCTTATTAGTCCGTTTTCGGCTGTCCCCGTCAACATTCGCTGCAGGGTGTATCAGCCGTACTGATGTAGTGTACATTCAAACGAGCTTCAGTCCGAGGCTTACCATAGACTCTTCCCACCGGTTTTGGTTGAATTCTCAGTCTCTTGTATGCGTAGGCTGGTAACACTTGATCTAAGGATTGGATGTGCGTAAATGCCGTAGAACGACGCTGGGCTCATCTGCTGTCATTGAATAATAAAAGTGATCCTTGTCCTGGGATGGTCGCTAGGTCGGAGGAGCGGATTTCCTCACGGACTGAGCCTTTTCGATGGCCCGTGATGTTTCGTGTACTTCATTTGCTATAACTAGATAGATGTGATATCTTTTACGCCCACCTGTCGCTTGATTCTCCTTGGTCCGTTCTAAAAAACTTATAGGTGAATTTACAGAATTATTTAAATAGTTGGTAAGAGGGTCAGAATATCTCTGGTGTGGGCGATGCACTTATAAGTAGTGGGAAAACTCTAATGAAAATTTTAAGCCAGTTGAACTGTGACTGTGGTAACCCAGCCGAAATTAAGGGGAAAACATCCGTTTCGTTAGTAAAGTGGCTCTTTCCCGTTCCATTGTTTGGACCGTTGATCCGCTTGTTTCTGACATGATCTTGACTTTTAGGAAACCGCCTGCTAATTCCTAGGCTACTTAAGGTCGCGCTAACTGATTCGTTTCTGACATGTATGAAGCTCGCTACCTGATTGTTTACTTCCATCAGAAAATTTTACCTCACTTCGGTAAGCAGATTTCCAGGTAACTCATTAGTTTCCGTGAAGTCGCGTTCAGTGAGGGTGATCGGCAAATTGCTCCACTTTGTTCTTGGCCAGTGAAATTTTTTCGCAATCGATCTGCTGTCATTTCCGGCGTCCAAGTATGGGTGAATTTCCTCCTAGAGTGCCAAATACATTAATGCTTCATATTCCAACCTGTGGTTGACCCGTATAGAACGCCTAGCTCATGACTGAGGACCCATCACGGTTGGCTACACCGCATTCATCATCCTGACTCGGGTCTATCGATCGACCAAACCAGAGTTGCCCTAATCCAATTTCACATCTCGTCAGAACCAAGGGCGACATTTTGTAAGCTCTTATTCACCAGATTGCAACAAACTTAATAATTTCAATGGGTATATCTATTCTGGGGCTATATATGCTGAAAAACGAGGGTTGTGAGTTGATTGAGAATAGAAAATCTAAGGAAACGGAAGCCTTTTATGTTACCGGTAGTCCAGCGTTGATTGGTAAACATCTCAACACTATCCAACTCTACATATATATACCCTATATATACCTACCTTTTTTCTAGCAATATATCTGGGCTTGGTTAAAGTTCGGCAGTCCGGCATTACTAACATTTTAGGTTCATGAAATATGGCTGTCTTCCGATAGATCAGCTTACCTAACATTTTAGAGTTGAACAGCTGCGACCATCCAAGTCCACCATTAGTTTGGGCTAT